CACATCGGAAACAAGAGTATCCTGACAACACGACTTCTTGGGGCATGATGTCGGAGTTCAGCCATGTCTCTGCAAGTCCTAAAATGTCCGGCCGCTCCGAGACAGCGAAGCGGCACAGTTCGTCACGTTTGTTCATTAGGCTGCACACGTTGGCGAATGCGACACGGAGGTCCTGGGAGGTACTGCGGGACGTGCCTGGAGGTTGAGCAACCGGTTGATACGGGTTCGTACACCCTTCTTGATCACCCGAAAATTTACAACTTGTAAGTCAGTCTCACCTTCCTCTGTACGGCGTTTGAGCTCAATGACCGCAGTCTTCAAACGATCCCTGTCTTCGGGTTCCAAGTCTCGACGGATGTGAACTTTTATGCCTTTCAACCTTGACAGACGAGACAGTATGAACTGCGGCATATTAGGATTTGCAAAGGTGATCCTCAGAGGTCGACATGACTGGTTAGTTTTCTGGCCAAGTCGGATTACTTGTTTAATCGTCACACTGTCCTCGCCCATATCCAAGAGTCTATCGATGAGCCCCTGGAGGAACTCAACATCGTGATCATAACGTATCTGAGGGTTTTCATCTTTTGACTCCGGTACGTGGAAGACCATGAGATTATGACGCCACAGCAAAATCAGTGATGAACCTGTGGGAGCAGAACTAGAGGCGTTTAACTGATTGGGTAGTTGTTTATCAGCCGGTGACGTCTGAACTCGATTACGTGGGCCCTTGCGCTTTTGAGTGGTCCATGGATCCTCGGTGTTCAGAAGTTCACAGACAGGCTCTGAGAAATTCACGGACCGATCAGTGAAGCGGCATTTCGTAGCTTCTGAGCCTGAGTCTTCCGTCGGTGGAAAACATTGAACCTGGGGTTCGGCCGGGGTCGAAGACGCTGGTGGTGGTGCAGATCGCGGAGAGACAGTAGAAGGCGAGGTGACAGAGGTACTTTCACGAGGGCGTTTGATCCCACGTGGTGAACGGTTTGTTTCTATCTGAAAGAGAGATTTTTCCGTAGTGGTTTGCGGTCGCTGCGTATTCTGATGTCTTGTACCGCGACATTTATCACATATAACTTGAAAAAACCGATGTCGGATGTCGAGCGATTTTCGAAACACGTCAACGGATAAGCCAATGCACGAAATATGGAACAAAACATCACAGCTGTAGCATCGAAGTGCATGAGCCTTATTTCTCACAACTTTCGAACACAAACCACAAGTAGCTTGAGACGGCATCACAAGCTAGAGCAAATCCAAGATGGCGGACAGAGATGGCAGTATGGCAAATCAGTGAGATCTCCGGAATTAGCCAAAGAATAGCCGCCAAATTTGCACCGCTTGGAAAATACGCCAAAAGAAGAATAATGGTGCACAATTCACACAGATAAAACGCTGCTAACACAGTAATCTGAGGCAAAAGTGGTATCCAGCACACGTTGATCCAAAAATCCGCGGCGTCCGTGGGTACAGCTTATGTCGTTCATTTCTTGTTCATTTCTTTGTCCATCCTCCTCTAGATTCTTTCTCCAACTACGATCTCATGTTGAATGCATAGTATGATGTTTAACATTATATTAATTGCTTTTTAAACTTTTTTAATACTTTCTCTTGGTATCTTATCATGTTTGTATTGACGCTGATCTGTGTTTCTCACCCTCAGCTAGTGTGACGATGATGATGGTGGTGGTGGTGATGAGGATGATGATGATAAGTCGTTCGGCATCAGCAATGGGTTAGGCTACTTACAGGGAAGCACTTTTTGAACAGAATACCGACAGATTTCCGGGTGCTAGCAGCTAGCACTACCCTCCTGTCGGTACGGAGATATTGCCTAGATGCCTATCTTGGTCGACTGTGTCTGGCTTTCTTCAGATTACGTCCATTGATGCCGAATTATCGCGGTCTTCTCATCCACTGAAGATGGCATTTCGGTCCCTCAATCAAAAATTCTCCATCGCCAAGTTGCTGTTGTCACTAAGGTCGCGCCGTGTCTCTCTTATTGGCTGTTTTTGTACCTGACTGCTCCGATTGGCTTATCAGGAGGACAATGCCTGGGTCCATCAAACACACGTCAACTACCGTGGGCAAACAAGCGTTATTTATGTGTTTTGGTGACTTTCTTAAATGTCCTCTGTTCTCTGCTATTCTTTACTTATCTGTGCTAGTATCAGATTGTTCTACAACATTATTTTGACTGACCAATGCAATTGTTCCACTGAATTTCTGGGAAAAGGTTGGATTTTGGTCCATGTAGTGTCCACTTACCCATACTAGAGAGTCGCTCTTCTTAGTCTGGTATTTTCCACTAACTAATCCAACACCCCCTCTAGCCACTGCTTGTTAGCAACGGCACGACGCCCAGACTAAGTGCAGCGCATAAAACGGAAAACTATAGGTTTGTCAAGCTTAACTTTACGCACGGTCTGGTTTAAAAAATGAAAAGTAAATTCCTGTATCCGTAGTTATATTTTCCTTATATAGGGCAGTGGATTACTTACTGTTTTATTTGCAGTCCTAATGAAAATCGTCAGACACAGGAAGATGTTCGGCATCGCACGGAAGAAGGTCGGTACTCGATAGTCTGTCACAGGTGAAAACACATGCGTGCTGTTCTGTATGGGAATTGTGCATGGGTTTAGAAATAGCGATACATTCTCAGCATGTTAACAATCCAGTTTAATGCGACGTCATAATTCTATTTTGAGACTACAGCTTGCCTCGATATTAACAAATGTGCATCTCTGGAGAAAATTCTAGCCACATCAGTATCGACAAAGAGATGGTGAGGACTTCGTTTGATTGACTTGATCACCTCGATATTGATGGTTGGGTGCTCCGCCAAACTGGTTGCGGAAATGTTTAGGATCATCGCGGCGTCGTGTTTTATGTTGATCGGCAGTTGACACTCCTAGGTTAACTTCTAGAGATTGACTATGTTGTTCTGCCGAATATTGGCTGGAAGACGCATCGAAGTATCGGTATCTTGGTCTGCTAATCCTGGTTTCCCTGATAGATCCGATTTGAAATCATTCCCGTTCGTGTTCATCAACCCGCCTACACATGGTGAAATCCTCGGTACCATGTGTTATCAGCTAGAAGCATTGTAATCGGGTGATGAACAGTGCAGATTGTTTCGCATAAGCTGATGTACTGGGAGTTCTTTGACATGTTGAAGTTGATATGTTGTCGGTGCCAGTGCTCTCAAACCAAGTCAAAATTCTGCTCCATATGCATCACGACACGTTTGGTATGCGATTAAAGTAAGCGCTGACTGTACACAGCGGATGATTACTGGTTCCAAATTCACCAGAGGTTAACAGCAGCTGGAGTGTTTTTGCGTCAGTCTTTTTGGTAATGATCGGAGATTATTCTGTTTCTTGCACAAACCTGGCGGGAGTCGACCCTGTATTAGTGAAACTATAGGTGGCTAGCTGGGACCGTTTTTCTACTAGCTGTCAAATACCTTTGACTTTGAGAGGCTGTTCCGTCAGTCCTAGTAACCAGCATTTTTGCCGATGAATGTTCATTCTGCTCCGTGGACCGTCTCTCTGAATGCACCCACGTACGCAGAATTAGAATGTAAGTTCGGACTAAAGCCGCAGTATTAGACGAGCCTGATCACTATTCCCTTGAAGAATGGTGTCTACATTGCTGACGTCCATTCAGTTCTACCTTACGAAGTCTGATCCATCAAATCGATAGATCCAGGGAGGCTAGTTACGTGCGACTACTGGCACCTTTGCAGTATAGTCCATACGAAAATCAACATGTTCACTATCTCCTTTATGGCTCAGGAAGAGCAAGCGAGTTACTCAGCACCGTTATTTCACGTACCAGACTTCGACGGCTGGACTTTATGTTACGCATGCTAGTGTAGTGACTTCCGCGACGTGCGCTGTTTGCACAACTGGTCTCTATGTAAGAAGACGAGGGCAGGCTAATGGAATTGGAACCCTTCATTTCGAATCCAACTTTTCTAGGTGTATGGAAAGATGATGAAAACGTTTGGCTAGGGACATTTGTTAACACGTCGAAGAGCTGACTTCACTGACGTTCTTTTTTCGGATTATTTGTCACTCCTCCCAGTTGTTAGCATCCCATCTAACAAGGTTCCATTCTTGATACGTAATAAAAACAATATTATTATTATTTGTTTGTTGTATTACAACAGCAACTAATGTGTTTTTCGCGTCTTGTTACTGATGGTCCAGCAAACGTAATGACTAGAAAGATTAGCCCATTGCTTACGTTTCACGCTCAACTGTGTTCTTAATGGAAACATTTTTACTTGCCAGACGAACTCGTTGCAGAGGAAACGTGACGCCATCCGAATTACAGTTCACGCTTCACCACCCGGGCTGGTGTAATAATTCTCCTACCCGTCCAGGTGGGCCTTTCAGAAGCAGTGTCGCCGATACGGTATACTCTCTGAAATTACGTGGCGACGACTCTTTAGAGCTGTGATATGAGGCGCAGAAACGGTTATCTCTTTTCAAAGGCTTACTCTCAGTTTTTATTATCACATCCGTTCGGTATTATTTCTCTCCAGCGCCCAATATCCTATTACACTGTGCACATTTCCCATTTATATTGACATCATTTGGATATGTATCTACCAAGGATGGTTCATTGTGGTGTCGAAAAATGTAGGGAGTCAAAGCGGAACGCCAGTATCCTTTCACTCAGTTTTCGTTCTGGTTAATGCTCCTTGAGGCATGAGGCAGCGCAAATCACCGCGTGTTCTGCCTTCCACGCAATGTTTGTGTCAAGATGTCGCTAATAACTGTTTTCACACTATGACCCACATCTGCTTCTCGTGTAACGAGATAGTTATGCCTTAACGTAAAATGTTTGAACGATGAATCCTCGAATTTATAGGTCACCATTGAATCTTTAGTGCACTTCAGCACTTATGCGACATTCTAACAGGTCACTCGTTATTCTGCAACTGTTTTCACTACGTGTCTCATCATTAACCGGACATTTCTTGTTCGTCACTTCAGAGCAACGCCCTCATAAATGTGAACAATGTGATAGGGCATTCCCTAGGAGGTGCAATTTGGAAAAACACCGCTTAACCTTTCATTCGGGTGAGTTTTTAACTACGCTTCATTCAAGTTTTGTTTCATGAATCTCATTATAGCATAGACTATGGTAATACGGAACCTCGTTGGCAGTAACCCCATGTAAATGATCATCGAATACTTGTTTTCACTGATCATAGGCCACTTGCATCACAGGACGTTCAATCCTCCTAGACCCGATACTGTTGGGTTAAAGCGTTTATACCGTTCCGCTGTGTGTATACCGGACTCAGATGGACCGGTCCTCTGTGTGAGTGTGTGTGTGTGTGTGTTAACCAATCTAACATCAATGCCAAACTGTCACATCTGCTTGTTGATCCACTTCTTACTCTAAATATAGGCTAGCATGCGTCCATTCACCGGCCATATACCCAGCCGACTCCTTTTTCTGGGCAACGGTAGTCCACCAGCTCCCACTACCCATATTTTCCCAAGTCCAGCTAGTGGAATCTAAGCACTTTTCAACGAAATAATGCCGGTGCACTAGCTGTTTTGATGTGTGCGTACTTGCAGAATGATTGGGAATGTGAAGGAGCTGACAGTCGAACATCTTATTTGAAAGGAATTTGTAAGTGCATCCAAAAAACCATCATATGCTTTATGCAGCTTTCATTTCGTGAATATAACATTTCGCCCGAAAGCTGTTCTATCTCTCTTGATTAGATTAGAATTGTGTGATTCATGTGTGGGCTAAATGGTTGGAATATGCTTATCTTATGCCTGAGGAACCGTAACCAATGTGATATTTAATCGACTGAAATAAAAATTAACGAGCATATCATAATCATTCCACTGCGCTGGATATCGGTCCTCTTTTTACATGATTGACAATTTGACTCTGAGGTTAAACAGTAACTTGCGCTACCCTTCCAAGTGAGAGAATCCGGTCTTGAGATGGCGCCACAATGAGGTGACTGATCTGCCCCTTGCATCGAGCACTTTGGAATGCTAAGTCAACCTTATCCACTCTGGTCCACCGATCCACATCTCTCCCATCGCCTCAAACGGACATCTCGTTTGTTCGCTCAAGCCCGCTTTGTGAGACTTTTGACTCCATTCGCAAAGGGCTTGATCATGCCCCCTACTCACTTCAGGTTCTACCCCTTTTTCCAGATTTGTTCGCCGCCGTCTCTGCGTTCGTCCTAATTCCGGATTTGTACTAAGTTTACCTTTACTCTACGTCCCATGTTTTGTGGTCTCGGCCAGTTCGTGAACCAGCACCTGCTTCCACACACAACTCATTGTCCAATTTTAGCTCGTGCAGACACATTTCGACCTAGACGAGCAGATGGCTAAGGTCTGTGTAGGAAGACCCAAACTACCGCCCATTTGAGCTTGATCACGCATCTCTCCTGCCTTGCGTGGGCCTAGTGTAACCAATTTTTGCTGCACCCACCAAAGCGCGATTGCTGAGTGCCGCAGGTGGGTGGCACATTGTCCGAATGCTAATGGCTGATTGCGGTTGACCACTCAATACGATTCTGGATGCAATTTCGATGGTAATCGGATTATATTTTTGCGCTATGAAGGAAAGCTGCTGCCTTAAGGCTGAAATCGATTACCTTAGCGGATATGATCCATTTAGTAATTGTACATTGAGAACCCTAAGAGACAAGGCTGTGGAAAGCTTGCGGATGAGAAGTACGACTACTTCTTTGTCGTCCCGCCTCGCTTCACTACCCACACCGCTATTGTAAAAATTCAGGAGAGAAGTGTATTAGACGCCCATTTGGCAGTATTTGTGCCTTATTCCATTTCTTGTTGAAAAACCACCTGCACCTGGCGCAATTTTGAAGACTTTTCATTGCGGATCTTATGTCTAGACTAGTCTTTGACAATCGTGAGATGTCGTCCGAGGTATCAGACGAAAGCCTACGATTAACTTGCAGCCTTTGGGACGGTGTTCTCTGCTTGTCGGTCCACCTACTTGGCAAAAGCGCCCGAGAACTTCGTTCCGATGTTCTTGTTCTGGATTCTTTGCTCGACTGTGTGCAGTCGTCCACTGCTACCTTCGGCAGGTTGAAGCTTTCCACCAGTAAATCGAACGGGAGGTCAGTAGGCCTTGCTTGTTCTGGTTGGCAAGATGTGGGCCGTAACTGGTTTGCATGCCGTGGCCAGATCTGTGCGCCCACCATCACGTCATACATGACGTTTCCGCGCTTGCGTTCGACCGTTCCTGGCGTCCATCTCGCATAGCCTTCCCGGTATTCACGTACTAGCACCTTCTGTCCATGGGTGAAAGATCGCTTCTTTGCTCCATGCCTCCGATTAAACTCCTGTTCCATTCTGCGGTTCCTTTCACCAATAGAGGACTCCGAGCCCTGTCGGATGGCGTCGAAAGGCATGCGGAGCTTCCGGTTCATCATGGCCTGTGCTGGAGAAACTCCGTCTGGCGCTTGTGGATTCGATGTTGGTCGGTAGAGGAAAAGGAACCTGTCAACCACCTCTATACGTCCCTCCCCTTTTGATTTGTGGAGAGCTCGCTTGAATGTATCGACAAACCTTTCTGCTTGGCTATTCGACTGTGGGTGAAACGGCGGCGAGCGGACGTGCTGTACAGCGCATTGCTTGCAAAACTCCGTAAACGTTGCTGAAGTAAATTGTGAGCCATCGTCGGTGACAATTGTCTCAGGACAGCCGAATCTGCTAAAGCTTTGGCGCAGTTTCGATATGGTGGCATTGGTGGTTGTGTTCTCCATAAGAAATACTTCAGGCCACTTGCTGTATGGATCGACTATAATGAGGAAACTTCGGCCGCTGATCGGTCCCGCAAAGTCGACATGGATGCGGCACCATGGCTTAGTAACTTTTGGCCATGAACGAGCCAGCCAATCGGACCGCACACATCCGGCTACTGATTGGAATCCAATCAACCAGAGCAGCTTCAGCCCGGGGACTCAGGGCAATGCCAACACCAGCTTGGCCGGTGCTCGAAGCTGCATTGTCACCGGATAGGCGCAATGAGAAATTACTGCTTGCGTCACATGAAAGGGATCGCAAAGTGATCACAGAGCTCGAGTCTTGCAGGCGGGTCTCTGATAAGCAGCAGATATCGATCGAGAGCGTCTCCAATGTTCGGGCAAGTGCTGCCTGTTGACCGATCTGTAGTAATGTGCGTACATTGAGGCATACCAATCTGAAGGAGGATCGAGGGCTCCAAATGGAAGCCGATGAACTAAAATGGACCGCTCGGTTGGACATGGGCTTGTCGACAGGAGAGGAGTGACGCTCCGCGTTTGCATGTAATGTTGAAATTAGAAGATAAATGCCTAACAAAACATGCTGGAGGAGGGCCAAGGATCGGGGGGTTGAAAACTGGGGGAATAAAAGTGAAGTTGGAACGCGGCGGTAGGAGTGTAAAAGCGTAAGAGGGGGAATGAGAAGACGGGAAGGCTTGAGCAATAGCATCCAAACCCCTATCAACCCTGATCGATGCGGCAGATAGGGCACCGTTGATTATCCTCTGCCGTGGCCAGAGCATCAAGTAACTGTTTGAGGAAAGATTCATAGTATTGCGTGGGCAGGATACTGTCAGGTTGCCCAGGCTTAGACAGGAGAACGATTAGGGTTCTCAACCATAGATTTTGGTTCCGAAACCTTACCATTAGGCAGCGGGTTTGGCTTTGAGCTACAAGGAGTCCGTTTTAAGGAATAAGGTGCCACTCTCATTCCAACCCCCAACCTGGAGGACCAGGAGGCTGAGCTTTTCTGGCCTCTAACCATTGACCAATCTGGTATGAGTGATTCTGAAAGTGCAAAAGCACCACCCAGCATAGCTCAATTGATCGCTGAGGCACACAAACCATCGCACCACGGTAAGGTCCAGCCTCATTGCGATGCATATCCAATTTCAATTAATTGCTTAAGAAGTACGTAAGTAGTGTTTTTGTCAGGGGAATCTGATTCTTCCGTCTGTCAGATCCAGATTATTACAGATGTTTCATACACTCGTATTCGGCTAATATATTGTGTTCAAATAGAGTGGTCTGAAGATAGGGGCCATTGGTGTCGGGATGATGAAGGCATGTTTGGAACTGTTCCTCGTCCGATAGTATTCATGTTATAACTATTTTCTCTGAGTTCGACCGATTTCCCTGCAATTTTCAAATGTTCATGTATTGTTCTTTGCTTTCGCAGGCGGAAACCGTGTATGTCGTGGAATAGAGGAGCGGGGTTAGTCCATAAACTTGTGTATGATCATTGTACCAATTTGTCAGCATCGAAACGCTGGTAAAAGGTTCGGTTGGCTTTTTTGGTAGTTCTATAACTAGTATCGGGATTGCTCGGCGTCAAGTTTGCGTCATGGATGCGCGTTCCACTTATCATCAGCGACTGCTCGCCCCCCACGACCGCAGTGAGATCCAGAAAGACGAGTCCAAAGTCTTGTATACTGTCTAATACCTGACGCAGTTTTTGTAGGTCATCTGCGCTTGCTTTGACAACATAGATATTATCCCACTATGCGGCGGAACCGTCTATGTCTGTCTGCGTCGTATCCATGATTTGCTGAAATATTGCTGATGCACCCTTGACCCCTTGATGGAAGTCGATGATACTGATACCTCCTCCGGTGCTTATTTATCGTCGGTAAATCTCTTGAGGCTTCGACATCTTATACCTGCAAGTACGCATGCGATAGACCCAGCTGTACAAAAATCCACCCCCATATAATTTCGACAACAAATCATGTGGGATCGGCAGAGAGTGCTGATGTGAGCTAGCGCTCCGTTGATACCTGTCGATAAGTCGGTGCATATACGAATCCGACCATTAGGCGTCTTGACCACCACGATTGGAGCAGTGAATAGTTCACTGCATGAATCACCCTGGTTTTCTGCAAACGATCTAGTCTGTGGGTAATAATTGGAACTGCCGCGTAAGGTACCGGCCGACTAGCACGGAAAACCGGTACAGCATCAGGTTTTCTGGACAGTGAGGCTTAACAAATACATTCTGTTAATGACTGAGCATTTCACGCGCTGGAGTGAAGCAACGGGTATCCCTGACCAACGGGATAGCACCGTAACACATGCTTTCATGAAACATGCGATAGCGGATCTCGGATTTCCAATGATCATATTAACTGACCATGTTCTGGCTTCAAGAGCGAGCAATTCCGGATCTACTTAGATACGGCCGGTGTCAGCAAAATGTGAACAACTTCTTGCAATCCTCAAACAAGTGACTTAGAAGAGCGGTAAGATAGAACGATTAAAAGTGGCTGTTGGCAACAGGAGGAGATTGGGTAGAGGGTTCGTCGCTGCTCCTGACCCATAGAGCATCCCAGCAGGCCTCCGCAAGGAACTCGCTGCTTCAACTGATGTATGGCTGTAGATCTAGAGTTTGGCATGTGGTCAAACTACTGGATTCCTCCAAAAGAAGTACAAGATTATAGAAAGCAGCTAACAGTTACCTGAAAGCAACTGATGCTTGGAGGATGGAAAATTACCAGGCTAACAATGGCAAGCTGGGGTGAGTTTTCAAGCGGTTCGAAATTAAATTGCATGGATCATCTACGCGCATCCACGTACGGAAATCTCTGCCGAAGTGCAGGGAAACATGTGACGCGGTCGATGGACGAGGCTCAGTGTATACAATCTCCCGTCATTGTTTAACGGCGAGTACATATCGATGGACTGAGAAGATAGGACGAATTAAAGATATCCTCTTCACACAGCAACTCTGAATGAGCAGCTCCGAATGTTAAGAGGACAGTAAACAAAGGTGGTGAGCGCGAACATTTTTGAGGGGCGTTGGGCCCAAGAGCAAGTACTACTGCTTTATAGTCAGTAGCATAGAAGTGCCGAGTAAGCCAGGTTGTAAAGGACCAACACCGGACCATACCGACGTTCCAACAGAGGAAGCACGCTTGGGAGCCGTGTTTCTGTGCACTAAAAATGGCTACTGAAGCAACCTGCGCTACACAGTCTCTAACAGAGAGTGCGAAAATGGGTAAAACGATTGGTGATCAGAGCTGATGCATGTTCGATGATATTTTCCACTATATTTTCCACAATTTGTACCTTAAATTCTTGCAACCTGGTTTGGTTTTTTCATTCCTTTTGTATTGTCAACATTGTTTCCATTATTGTTTTCAACTGCGGTTAACTGAATTCCCTCATTTTCAACTGCTACACTCCCGCAATTTGTAAGGGGTATCACCTAGATTTCTTCTTTTGGCCTCAATTTCATATTCACCTTCTCCTATGCCGCTGGGTTTTCATCACGAAAACAATTCAGAAAGATCTCATACTTCGATCGCAAATTAACAATTAAGTTTCCGCGGATTTTTTTAGGAACTCGGAAGTTCAAGGTGTAGTTGAAGTCACTAGTCAGAATGAGTGGATAGATCTGAGAGAGCTACAGGGAGCCTAAGCTCAGGCTTTTCGAGATTGCTACTAATGGACTAGCCGGCATTGGTCTTCTGTCTACGCTCCACGCTAACTGCACTGTCTACCAGCGGCTGAACGTTCCTCTTAAATTTCGTTCTAATTAATGCACTGAATAGCGGGGTAACGCAAAATGTGGCATGCTCTGCCTTACACGTTATGTTCGTACCAGGATATTATCGTAGGTACTTTTTTTGCTATAGCACATCATTTGCTCTCATATAGCGAAATAATTATGCATTAACGTCGAATGTTTAAACGGCGAATTTTCGGGTTTACTGATTACGATTAAGGCTTTGGTGCACTTCAGCCCCTATGCTCGTATTCTAACAGATTATCTGTTTTCTGCAATTGTTTTCACTGTGTCTCATCAGTAACCGGTCATCTCTTGTTCTTCCATTCAGACCAACGCCCTTTTAAGTGCGACCAGTGTAGATGGTCATTTACTCAGAAGGGCAATTTGCAAAGGCACATCAGAAGGTTTCATTTGGGTAAGTATGTAACCGGGGGTCTCCTTTTATAGTTATTCCATCACTTGCATTGCCGCATTATCGATCACATCACGTGTCCTCAGCGGCTGCAACCACACTATCTGTTAATGCTCATCGTTATGTTGACATTACGACTCTAGTACGTCGCAGAATGCTCAATGTTCTAAATGGGGTATTTTGATATGTCTTTCTTCTCATGCACTGGTCTCTGGTGGAGTTTTGTAATGACTTCTTTACAATTTCGCTTAGTTCTTAGATCTATGCTAGTCCGAAAATATAACTAACAGCTAACCATTCCTTCGTTTTCCGCCCTGTCACATTACTTCCTGGATGTTAGTCCTTACATTCGGCTAACCGTCGCAAGAGCAGCAGCAATACGGTGACACACCGTATCGACAACCAATAGTAGTGCGCGTACTGCGGATACCGCGCGTCGCTCGAATCGAACCGATTACCTCCAGACTAAAACGCAAGTGTGTAATGCTTTCAGCCACCGAATAACCGTCGCAAACGTGTTTTGCAATCCGTCGCGAATCTCTTGGTAAAAGTTAATGGAAAACACTTGAAGGACAAAACGACACATTTCTTTAGTCTGTGGCGCCTCTTTCTAGTTTTACTTCTTACTATTACTGCGAACGACCACAGGATAGCCCTACCTACCGACTGTTCACGGGCAATTTGCGCTGCACCGTGAACATCTTCCACTCGGCCGCTATCCATTGTACACCTGGAGGATCATGGCTGGTAGGTATGTGATATCTTCGAAACAGCCCCACATACTTCACCACATCCACTGCAAATTTGTAATTTCGAAAGCGAATCTCTTACTTTATTTTTTGATAGAGCCACGTACAAAGCCTGACGGTAGCGCATGACTTTTAATCTTACGTTGTGCGGCTAGGTTACTGTTTAAAGTCACATCAAGTGTACCTAATCGTTTCGGGTCTCTGGAAAGCGGACCTCAAACACAGCAATCTGCATTTATTCTAATTGGTCTAGGCAAACCTGGGTGACCTTACATCATCCATCACATCTGTCCAGAGTAGTGGATGTTTGTCCACGCGATTGTCAACGTACATGCTCCACGGAGGGAATGTATTTGCACGCTGCATGTTCGCATTGCCCGATCTGGTGTATAGTAATTTTCTCGTTTTTTACAGGGTCGGGCTGCGCACAACTTTCAAGAAATCATTGAATCACTTGTGCTGGTGGCCTTCTTTTAGGAGCCAAATACTACAGAGTAAAAGCCTTAGTCACAGTGGCACTGGGGCTGCATTTCACAGTAAATTGTGACTATAGTGCCCTCCGTGAGGTTGCTTTGCTCAAGTCTCACCAAGCGCTGCTTTGTCAGTGTCATATCGTCTGAGTCCCGATGCAATCAGCGAGGTATACTTGCCTTTGACTGTATCCGCCTATCGTTATGCCATATTCAGTGCTTTCCGGAAGGCCACGCGATTGCGCTTAACAGCTGATAGTGTGATGATCGATAAAGTAATGGGGCTCGGGTTAATATGAAGAATGTGTGGAATATGGACTGAATTTGGATCAGTATCAGTGGAGTGGAGGAGAAGAAAGTGAGCAGATGCGAACTTTTGCATATTTTTTCTTTTCTGAGTACACAGCTTTGGTTCGATAGTTTCAGCATTCTCTAGTATTCGTCTGCGCATATACCTCGATCGACTTTTGTGAGCCGCTTAGTTCCAAGTGAAAGGAAGTCATAACCTCGGAGTCTAGCCACTACCATATGCACTGATAGGAACCTGCTTGGCCGTGGAAGATAGGTCATGCTATATCCCAGTTAGATTGCAAATTATGTAGCTCAACCACCGACCCCCATGGCTCAGTGGCTGAGGCTGCTGGCTTGTTGGCGTCATCCTCTAGCGGTCATGGGTTCGGTCTAGGATTATGACCTATGTCATCGAGGTGTACAGCTTTGGAGGAGTTATATACCTTTTTGATTCTAGCCGCTAGCCATGCCGGACGGTGTTCTCTTACCCTTTATTTACCTTCTACATAGGAACAGGTAAATGGTAGATGCACACAGAGTTGTCGTAGACAGGTCTGTTATTCTTGAGACTGAATGGAATAGGTCTGCAATTCTGCTACTAGAAACGCACGTCTGAGCACATGCTATCAAGAAATTCTACAGGTTATGCAATTGACAATGGATCATCACCATCCTTATGCATGTTAGCTGTAGGTGGAAAACACCTCATCTACTGCGTCGTAATACAAAAATGAAGAAAAAAATCATGAATCAGAGGCTCGTTGGCTGGGTCACTAGTAACGGGTGAACATCGTTCCGGAAGCTATTGTGCCGCAATAAATGAGTCATACTATGCCTAATAAATGAGGTCGTGGTTAGATGGGGAGGCTAGGCTAGAGACGGAGGGACGTTGACAATGAATACGTGGTGGATGTGCTGTTCGTAGGTTTTTGAAAGCATTTCACCCGGTACTCCACTTGGGGCCATCGCAAAGGCTCATCTCTTATGGTGTATCTGAACGCACTTTTCACTCATTGTCCACATTTTTGCAGGGAAGAGCACCGTGTGCGCTTGGGTCGCAGTCTTTCATTGAGGTAAGTTATTCTTCGCAGTGTCCTACACTGCCCGGTTCAAGGACGACTGCAGTTCTCCGGGAAGCTTCGGGTACCATCGCTGTCAATTACTGATTAACTAAAGCTGTTGGCTGTTGCGTATGTCCCTGGAAGTCCTGAAGCCGTTCAGCATACCCTTTATAGGTTATGTGACTTACTACGTGGCTATTCCCAGTTAATTAGGCTAATTGTTTTGTTCTTCGTTTTGTCGCAGCTTGTCCACCTTCGGGGTACGTGCTCCGAAGGGGGCGAACTCCTCTTACCTCTAACTGGTCGATCTTAGCATCGTACACTCTTGGATTTTGCACTCGGGCGACAACTGAAAGGAGGACACATGTAGAGGGCTCCGTATGTTATGGTTAATACGCCGTTCTTCCGGCCTCTTAACTGCCGACATCTTTGTGAAGCTGTTCTGACCTTTCGTTCCGTCCCATTTGCTATATTGCGTTCAGGTTTGCTCCCTTTGCCTCGTTCTAGGCAAAATGAACTTTGAGAGGGTTTTGCGAGTTGGTACTAAGTTTGTTGGGTATTTACTGTGACCGACATACTCCGAGCACATTCAATGCACTACCAAAGGCTCCGAGGAGACCTAATCTGCACTTACAGTATTTTAACTGGAAATGTTAAGCCCGACTCGTTTTGCCTATTTAGCCCGGCCAGATTGTCTAGTTTCTGCAGTCATCCCATGAATCCACACAAGTCGCGATCTGATTAGATTAAGGCGGAAAGTCGGCTATCACATGGAGTTGAGAAGCGCCGGAACACGCTTCCAAAATGATGGTCAGTGAACCTACAGTTAATGATTTTTGTGCTCCAGTTTGACTCCTAATTGGCAATACGAAGCCTTTCCCTTCTTCTGGTCATATCCATCTTCATACTTTGATTTTATTTTCTGCGTTGTTTCGCTCGTCGGTAGTATCCTTCAGTTAAATGATCTTTTCTTCCACTTTTTTCTATCTCTTGCTTACTTCTCGTCACCGGCACAGCAAGGTTTCCTAGTGAATGGAAATGTAACTAGTAGTAGCTTTACCGGGGTGTAGTTTGGGCGTTTCGTTTTAGATTCCTCAGGACGTCAGAGCACCTTATTAATTTCCGGCCTAATGATCCACTCAAGAAGTAACCCCCACGCGATTCTCCTATTGTTCCGATCCCACTTGAAATTGATGCCATCTTATTGGTATGATCGATTAAACACAATACTAGATGTAGCAGCTTGTCTTGAGATTCTTTCGTTGACTTGCTCATTTCTAGACATCTTGTTGCTTGCAATAATTTTTTCTATGATATGCTTTCATCTGATGTATAGTGACCATCTAAATTTAAAATTTCATTTTTCCGTGCCGCATCATATTGTAATACTAGCTTTTCTTGTCTCACATTTTTTGCTTGTTGATCCAACTAAAGTCATATACTTACTGCACGATCGGATGTTGGAGTGTCAGTTAGATATGCATCACTTTTCTCCCTGCTTATGTACATCGGCAGTGATAGTGTAAATGCTGAAAATGAACCTATTCAGATTCATAAAGCTTACTTTAACTCAACCTAATCTTGTTGATATGGCGCAATTCATTCACCAACTGATTTACAAAGTTGTCCCATTGGTTTGGGAAGAGGAACAACAACCAGCCCTCAAAGAAGGTGATCACAGAAGCCCCCCATATTTCCGTTGCTACGGATCCAACCCTCATTGTGGTAGCAGTCAAAATTGAGCTTGGTAACGAGTTGTCTCAAAAAGGAAAACCAATAGATTCTCACAGTAGGAGCCTTCCGAGTGCGGAGGAATGTTATTTACAGCAATGAAATGCTGGCAGTGGTGTTCCCCATAGAGCCATTTAACGCTTACACTTTCGACAGGAAAACGGCAGCCCACACGGAACATCTGTCCATGATTGCACTAATAAAGAAGCCACTGTGCAGCACGACGTAGGCCAAGGAGAATGATGATCGGGCTGCAATCAGCTGGGCAGCATTACGCGTATCGCTGCTATTTTGCCTTCAACCACTCCGCTGAATTCATACACGGTCTCCAATTCGAGTACAATTTGCCACTTGGTACAGTAATCGCAGATCTGAACACAGCTACTGCAGAGGATCCTACGCTACAGAAGCTAACAGATATGTGCCAGAAAATGTGCCAGTGTTTCTCAGCAGTCATAAATAATTTGCCTTCATAACTGGACTAATATTCGAGAGAGAAAATATGGTGGTACCGTTTGCTTGGAGGGATTGCTCGCTTACGCTCTAATTCTAGGGGACGCCGGTTCGAATCCGTGCAAGTGCGTGTGACCCCACAGTATACCCAGTCTTCGCGCTAAAGTTGGTTGTCGCGGTGTGACGGCGCACTACTGATGTCCTTTTTCTTACAAGAGGTTATCCACATCACCTGTAGTGTTGTAAATAGCAGCATTCTGGGTGCAAAGGAGCTCTCCTTTTGGCCCAACATGAACACCACCATCAATATTTTTATCAATCAATGGGAACCCCGTATAAGTCATGACAAGGCACAAAGGTGATGTTGAGAGACGTTCCGAAATGCCCGTTGCAATGTATCCTAGTTGATCTCTATGCTGAATGTTAGGATTTACAACTCCATCGAAATATGATCAAAAATCTTTTAAGATTTTATCTATGACCTGTCAGCACTGATCCCTTTGCAAGTTCTTACGAAACCCCGTGAAAACCTTATTACTCACAGTAAGTAGAGGTTCACAAGGGTGAGATATCATTATCAATGAGTAATTGTTTACAGGATCTTTCACTGGAAAAATGCAAAGCAAGCAATTTTCAAACTGCTTCACTGAGTTTGCTTCCGTCAAACAGTTGCAAACACTTATCACACACTGTTCAAAGCACAGGGAATGAGGAACTGGCTTTAGATCTGGAACCACAAGCTTGTACTGATGACCCACATGTTCTACAAGGTGTTCGCAAATGAAGCACTGTCCTCAGCATGTGGGGAATTCACTTAGATGTAGAGTAGGGTAGTTTATGATGAGGTCGACTCGCAACCGACGGTAGGCTAGAGTTTACAAACTAGGTTATCGTGCGGTAAGTCCCACATAGACTGTGGATGAGCCTCGTAGCGACGTGTTAGACTCGCTCGATTGTCTGCGCCTCATCACTAGTAGTCTGGAAATATGCGGGCGAGACGTACAAGAGGCGACTAACAGCCTCTTCAGATTAGAAACCGAAGTTGCGTTTGATTGCCCACAACATGCGCAGTCCGTTACAACGGAACCTATAAGTGTTTCTCACGGACTTTAAATCGCAGCACCACAGTACACTTAGGTCCTTCACTGAAGGCACGGGATGTAACATTTAGCTGTCAAGAGTGTAGGTTCGGTCGTCATCACTCTTCCGCAGGCTTGAGAATACCGACTTTAATGGGTTGACCGGAAAGCGGACTTCTGCAGACCACATATAAAGGCGGTTGTGGTCTTGCTGAAGTAGGCCGCACCAGTCGGAGGTGCTTATCACCCCACATCCTCAGATCATCCGCAAACAGGGCACACGGTAACCGAAGAAGCTGAGTTGGATCATTGATATGAAGCAGGAACTATGTAGCTCCCTAGCTTTGTGCCTTGGGGTACGCCGCTGGTCGAAGGATACCAGTCGGTCAGATTGCTATCGGTTTGTACCCTCCACTTGCGTCTGAGAAATTGGGGCACCCAGCGCTGCAGTAAGCCGCCAACACAAACACCTAGTTTGCAGCAGAGCTCGATCCACTTGGCTCACGGCTTGAATCAGGCTGTCGAAATCCGTCTTCCAGTAGTTATAATCTGGCTGCAGTGCGTGGGATTGCTGCAGCGGTAGCCCCATGTTAACAATAAGTACTGAATGGTCGCTTGGTGCATAAAAATATTATACACATGTTCACAAATTACCACCATCAAGTCTAAGCGCAATTGCGCAGCACATCGTCAGCTGTGTTGCTCCACTTTCAGGTACTATTTCAGAAAACTTTGCTTCGACTTCGTAATATCCTTGGATAAGTTGAACTTCATTTGAAATCGCCTATGAGTAGAAAATGAGGGCGACTCATGTGGTCCCGGAGATGCGGTAGCCTATCTGAACAGCGGCTCAGGGCTTTGCGTTATAATGAAATCACGAGCGGCTCTTCTTAGTTAAGGTGGATGGAGCGTCACAACTGTTCACATATGCCATCTTCGCTTCCGTGGGCGTTCGCGAATCCCCCACACAGAGAAGACTGTATGTATATCAAGACACAACCGCAGTCGTTAAATAGCTTATCACAATGGAAGCATGAGTAGCCACTAGGTTCAACTTCCTGGATGAGTATCTCATCATTCAACCACTTCTGTGAGCCCCACTACCTCTGGTCGCTCGAAAGCAACTAAGCGGCACAGCTCAACATACTTGTTCATAAGACTGCAAACGATAAAGGCTACACACAGGCTGCGTTAAAAACTGGCAGGCGTGCCTGGAGAATAAGCGACCGATTTACCCAAATTCACGTTCGTGTTGTAACCACCCCAACATTTGCAATACGTATGTTTGTTTCTCCCTCATCGGTTCGCGGCTTTAGTTCGATGATGGCACACTGGAAGCGCTGTCGGTCAGCTGGATCCATATCCGAACGAATATACACCTACGCAGCAGAAACAGCACTAGCTTTCCGTTGACCTCATTGGCAAGTTACTTGCACAGGTCAGCTCTTTTTGGCAGTTTTTGCCGAGGCGGATGATTTGCCTCACTTCCACTCCATCCTCACACACGACAAGAAGCTTATCAACCAGGCTATGTGAAAACTCATCGTCGTGGTAATAGCGTGCCTGTGGACTGAGAACAGTGGCCTGAGATGTGTGGAACCCACGAAATTTGATCGCTTCTTATCATTCGAAGCGGTTCAAACGAGAGGAGGGTGATCTCGAGCCCTGCTTGAACTGCCTTGTTGTTGATCAGCAGCGGAAAGCTTATCTTAGTTTTGCGGTCACTTCCTTTGTTGAGTTTCCATGGCTCTTCACCCATTGGAAATTCATCTGCGTCTTTAGAGCTAACAGAGCACAATGTTAGTGGTCCTTTAGCTTTAGTGTCGTGCTTTCGAAAAAATTAGGATAGCGAAGTAATGGTTTGTCACAAGGAAAGAGGGCTTGGTTAAACCTTGCTATTTTGTACCTAGAACTGTTCACAGTTGAGCATTTTTGCCGCGATCTGCATCGGTAGACGTCATATATTTCTCTGGCTGCTTTCGACTGCGACAATCATTGCACAGAAGGGGGCTGAAATCATGTTGAGTGGAACAGGAGAGACGATAGGAATCGGCTGGTAATTCAACACACGAAACAGCAACCAATGCACGTAATGGCATTTGCCGTGTGTGCCACAATTTTCTGTGCATATGGTAATAAGCAATGCCTTAACACGATCGACTATATCAGTGTTCTTTTTGAACCTTCATTGGGGTACTAAACGACCTGCTGAGGCAATCCGCGCAGTACCGCATACCCGATACCGTGCTCTCCTGTAACGGACTATAGGTAATTTGCTCCTATATCAAAACTTTCGAGGAAAAACTGGAGTTTCCGCGCTTTATCTGTGAAAACTGAAGACTAAATCAGAAGTCACGATAGTCAAGAAGATTGCGTAGTTGGCGAGAACCCCTATATACTGTACTAGAAAAAGGAAACACCTGGTAAAGTGGTACCCTAAAGCCCGACCCAAAGGTTGTTTGGTAGTAGGGTGCGTACAATTCTCCCATTCATCGAGAAGCTATACAACCAGGTGTGATTAATCAAGCCTATGTACGTGAGGTTTTGCAGCGGCGCAAAACTTACAATACGATATAAAAACGCGTGACCTGCCACAACTAAAAATGGATGTGACGGTAACGATGCAACTAGTTTCAGAGACTCCGGAAAGATGAGACAAAGGGGTCGTGCTGGAGGACCGACGGTGGTTGTGCATAGTGTGGTTCGACGGCGGAACAGAGTACGTTTGATGAGGTGGTTACCACTGTGCCATTGCAGGCTCTGCAAGTCAGTACTGTATAAGCAGTAGGATGTTGAGAGAGTAGGACGAACAGCCCCAGGACCTCACGGCTACTTCGCGCTCCCTGCACGTTCGCAATCGGAACGGACAGCATCACGCTCCCATGTCCGATGCGTGTTTCTGCGATCGATCGAGTGAGCCTTTAGGAACAGTGCTTTTGCATGTAACGACAGAATCGAGAATAGTGTTTGTATCTTTCTTTTCACACGGCTTGGATACCCAGGCACGCAACCGTCCGTGCTAGCTTGAACCTAGTTCAAGACTGCATATGCGATGGTGCTGGTTGTTCCCTTTAAAGCACTGTGCGGTTGAGTTGCTTGATAAAGTCGCAAATTCACCAGCGAAGCTATGGTTGTTCGCCGTTGAGAAATCATCTGATAAAGAGGGTGAATTTCACAATTGGAGGGTAGAATTTTAGTGATGTGTGTTTGTAAAGCTGGCGTTGTGGCAACAGAGTGAACCATTGTGAGACGTTAAAGTGCGGTTCCATTGTTCATCAGTAGGCAAGATACTACCCGGTTGCCTGGACCTAGGTAGGCAGGTTGTCTTAGGTAATCGCCTCGCCGAGCCTCTGACCGTATAGTCTAGTCCACGGGGCGAAAAGTTGAGAAACATGTTTTGCACTCGTCGGTAGCCGGTGACTGATAACTCAGTGCATACTACTTCGGATGGTGACAATCCATACCAATGCCTAACACACCCGCCATCAGAGGGAAAAGTGCGGTGCTCTGATCGCTTACCGATGTATAATGTCGCTAGTGGCGAGTCACCCACCAGATCGCATTGCTGTTAAACGGACATTTGTGACTTTTTATAGAGTACGGTTACTAAGTGAATACCCTCTTCGCCTTTGGAATCTACCGCCGAACCGTTTTTGCTGGAACGGGAAATTCCAGAGCCGTCCAACTGGCACCGCTTGGATGTTGTTCGGCGAGCTAGCCATTCTTGTTTACTGCATCGGAATGATTACGCACCGAGATGTCGCCACGCAATGTGATGCACCCTTCAGTGTAACAGGTGTGATTTGTATGCTATTCGTCTTCATTTGGCTCCACGGTTGTCCATATACGGTGAATCTGTTAATGGAACATTTATTTGTACTTTATCTCTTTTAGATAAATCGGGGATCGAAAGTAGTTGAATCACTGAACAAGTCCACACTTTCTTCGCATCGCATTTGGCTCACACCGTAACTCATATTTCTGCTTTTGATATATGTGACAATTTACTTAATTTCACCATATACTTGTAATTAAACTCATTTGTGACTTCCCGCTTGTTCTGTTGTTGAAGTGAAAGGTTTCATACGCATGCGTAAGCTTTCATTGGTTAAAACGCTGTAAATTCACCTATTGTAGACCATGGTGTTTGAACCACACGTCAACCGATGAGCATCTTCTGCCACTCCAGTATGTGGTGCCGCATGTTTCGTCCTGATCAACTGCCGATGGACATTTTAACTAACGCATTCTAACTGTTGCGGCAAGCGTTACAGGTGTGTCATGTCGGTGTTTAAGGGCACTAAGAGGTGCATTTGGAGTAACTTTCTGTGGCGACGAGCATCTACTAACTATATGCACCCCTTTTTAGAGGTTGCGTGGTCCTCTTCTTCGAAGACTTGTCCGGCTTTGCTTCTGTACTTCTTCCTAATGCACTCCGGCTACAGCTTCTAAGGCGTGTTACTCGTGTTAGAACGTCGTTTTAATCCATTGTTGGCCCATTGCCGTCCGGTTTGCTTATTACTCCTGTAATGCTGGCTCCTAGCATAGTAGTGCATACTTTTGGCACCCCACAGGTTTACTAGTGGAATTGTCTGTTCGCATTTTCCATATCCTTGGCTCGGATAGTCCGAAAAGGAGGGAACTCACGGAGCGACTCACTGAAAACGCAATTCCTGCTAGCCATCTACCTTGCTGATCGGAAAGACAAAGTTTAAGATCGAAGTAATGTTCTGCTCAGATTTAGTCTGCGTTTCCTTGTCCATAGACAGCACTAATCTCATTTGGGTTACACGCGTCTGTATGCGCCATATGCTCCCACATTTGAGTTATGATAGATCACGTGTTAGTAGAGTACAGCCGCTTCGTCAGTTTAGCAGACGGACCATATGTTCGAGCTGATGGTTCCCGCTCTGTCATTCACAATTATGGACGCAAAAACCGAGAGTGAATAGTTCTAATGAGCACACGGTGTGTTCGCGCTTAAGTTCACCGTTCACAATGTTGTCATATTGTCGACTAGATGCACTCGTTCCGTATTTGACTAAACGATACTGAATAACGTGGTTACGACGCGCGTTTTTCTTCCTATCTGCCCGAGCAGGAGTACGATGATGCCAAGCATTGCTCAGTTCAAGTGCCTCATTGTTCTTGCTGTAGCCAGTCTGAACCCTGGATTAGGTGGTGACTTTCTCACTCTCGAGATCGTTCGCAACAAGGTTTTCTTTGGCCAGCCACCTGAGCTGACGCACCGCCCCTTTGTTGCTTCTCTGAATCATGGCTGGTGCCTTAACACACCGATCCAAATCCTACCCCACTATTCACGCTTATTCACCACTGGCAACACGTGGTACTGTCTGAAAGTGCTTATCAGTTAGGATCCTCATAATGGGAAGTCCTGTTTAACTTACGAAGGTAGTTTTCGTTAGTGCAGCCCCGTTGACGTCATGGTGCAGAGGTTCAGTTACTAGATACGGGGTTCCTTGTGGATATTGCATGTGAGCAAAACCAGTGTGATCGTACAGCGTTTCCCTGTTAATGAGTAAACTATTTTGCTTCCAGCTGCTTCTACATCAGTTAAAGACGTCGCGAAGATGGGCTGTCACTGTGAACCATGCCCTACTTCAACAGTGGACCCAGTCGGCCGCATCCGGAAGCTCCCCTTTTACATGTTTAGCAATGCACAGTGATTTATCACGGGACAGAAATCAGGTTTTGATAGTCTTGTAGGATGAGCTGAGATGAAAACTATAATACCAAAAAATATGAGTCATATGTTTAAGGGTTTATCGAGCCAAAGCGATTCAGGTGCGCGGATTTCAGTAATTAATAAGTTCACGTCAGAGATTATCTTTGTAATACATAATTGCGCCATTACCCATTCCAGTTTCATCGTTCCAAAGCAACGACATACCAGGTAAATTGATCTCAGAATCAGCAACTTCAAGGCGCAACTAGTTCTCCGTAATCATAATGAGATCTCGCGGTTGTGAGGCATGGCGTCCGGCCAACTGACTAAGATATTGGGCGTTAGTATACAAACAGGATAGTGTTTTGGATGTCAAAAATGCCTTGGTTTAGGTCAAACTCGAGTTCATTCTTAAACCGACCGTGTGGCAGTCGGTAGCTAGTCATGTTTTGGGGGGGGGGGTCGTTGGTTTATGAATACTAGGCTGCAGGGTGGCACAGAGCGTTCCTGACCGCCATGTTCCCTTTTGCGTCTGCCTATCCTGTCGGGGGTCACAAGTTCTATTGTGTCTATCGCTCTGTAGGACTGTGGGGACAGATTCTACTGAGGTTGCGTGTTCAATGAATTGCTGACCACTCGTGGCCGTGCGTTTGTTATCTTTTGCCGAATCTAGGTTGGTAACCAGAAGGGAAAATTCAACCAGCTATCCAATGGGACTTGTGTCATTCCGGAGCGTAGCATCACTTTCAATATCTTCGGAATGCAGCCTTTGTAGGGAGGAAAGAATTCTCGTCAACGTTTTCGCGATAACGTCGTCCAGAGGAGTACTTCGCGGATGTATCCCTACTGCTCTCAGTCATGTGTTTGCGCTTCGTGATCAGGATAATCCGATAGCTCAAGAACACATGAACAAATACGGTTTTCTTGCTGTCGTTTGAAGAAAGGCCGTCATTGTTGTTCTTCCCTGTGACCACTCTTCCCAAGAATATCGGTTATTATGCACATCCCGCTTAATGGGTTGCGAAGACGAACTACTGAAAGTAGGACGGCATCTTCTCGGCTGAGTTCAATGTTACTCGAAGAACGGGATTCACCGTGGTGCACTGAGATCGGGTGACGCGCTACGTGCTTCAGCACAGTGGGTTCAACCCGAATACAATCGTATCGCAGATGGAATTCTGCTGATTGCGAACGGCTAGAAAATTACTCTTAATTGTGCCCGATTTGGACTCGGGAACGCCAGTGCACACTAGAGCTAAGGCTCGGAATTTCTTTTTTGCGAATGTCAATTTGAAAGTTATAGCTAGTGACTTGATTGTTCAGCAGGCATTAGAGACATTTGTGAAATCTGTCGCATCGCTTGTGCTTGGTACCGTAGAGGAATATACGGGTGCCGCTTCCGGCGATTTTATCGAGAAGACCGATGCGCATGTGGCTCTGGTATCAGCTGCCGGTATAATGACCGACTCGTTAGGTTTAGCTTCCAGGAATGGCTTAATAGTATTCACGTCGATTGTGACTTGCCCACTTAGAGGGTCGGTAGGTCGGAGCAGATGGCGTAGATGCCGTTGGGCGGTTTGCAAGACGAATGATATTCCCAGACCTAGGGACAGCTCAGAAAGTTTGGGTCAGTTTTTCGCACTTTTCATGATCACCAATATACCATTAACAATTGGAACGGCTCTGCACAATTGGCAAAGGCAAAGCGTGTCAGGCAGAGTGATTTGTTTCATTGATTCTAGTTGACCTATATCACCGCACTTCGGATGGAACGCAGGGACCCATTTAGAACAGATCAGCCCTCTCCTGACCACTCGTACACGCTAAGTGAAATCGTGATCAGTGACAGACGTTGTTGCAATCGAACGCCGCATCCGTCTGTGGTGAGTGATTCTCGCGTTCTTTGTCATACTTGAACGGTCGCCGTCCGTTATCGAAGGTGGGTGTCACCGGAAGGACACGCACACGTGGTTTGGTTGCCTTGTCGATCCCAAATGGTCTGTGTTCGGCTACGCTGTTTACCTTGACCTGGGTGGATGTCAGGTACTAAATGTCGGCAGGTCGAATGCAATCGGAAGCCCCAAAGTGAATCGTAGCTTCACTTATAAGTGATCCTTAAGGAGAACTTCTAGGATCGCCAGATAGTTCGGAGATTTCTTTGTCGAACGCATTTTCGCAGTGGTGAGTTGTTAAAAAAAAACTAGTGATCCACGTTGGGATGTAAACGCGCAGCGTGCTAAAATAGCTTGGGTTACACAAATCACGATCGGTAGAGAACAATTCCGTAAAAAGGTGCCCAGTAAACACGGGAAGTTAATCCGATTCGAATAGGTGTATGATGAATGCGCTTTGTGAAGTAGGAGCAAATAAAATCTACGACGGAGTGGAGCACATTAACTATGCGACTGCGGTCACTGATTCAAACTTGTCACTGGAGTCATTGTCCTCGAGTTATTCTCGAAGGCTTCACTGCTTACTTAATAATTCTGCAAAGACCACTGTCAAACTGATGTAATTCTCGACTTGTTAATCGCGTACATTTTATTGGACGAGAGCATTCGTCGTGCTTAGATAGCGCATGTATGAAGCAATATAACTAACATATACACTGCTCGTTTTGGGGTAGATGCAGCGTAATGAAAAACCCACCAAGTCGGCTCATTCGCTCAACTGAGACCCGAATGGAAGCATAATATGCGGGTTTTTCACTCCTGATATATACCAGCTTGCGTTGGGTAGTGACTGCGCTGCAAAAAAAACGAAAGCTATTAGGTGTAATTTTGGTTGAGACCGGGGGCGGATGGAATGGATACGGTACCGATTGACTGGGGGCCAATCAGATGTAAGCCGAGAACGCAAGACTGGTCCTGCCCAGCAGAAATTGGATTGATCGGCTGTACAATGAGTGGATGACACACGCCTCAGATCTTGGCAGTAACACACGTAGCTGTGTCAAATAGCCAATATTGGTATCGTCGACTAAATGTGCGAACGGAATGTCACCGAGCAGTCTGTCTGTGATGGCAACAGCGAGGACCAGTGTAGGCTTGAGCTCTGTAAGTGTGGACCGTATGGAGAACAAACACAAACGAATGGAGTGTAGCTGACGTCGCAAGCCAGTTAACAAGGGCCAGCCAGTGAACAAACATCGAAATACTGTATTTAACCCATAAAGGACAACATTTATAATAATGATATTATGATCGCGGCCCAAACTTTCTTCTTGATTCTCGGAGATCAGCACGACATGGTGACAGAGGAGATGACACGCCGGATCCCGCTCGCTTTTGTTGGAAAGCCGTCGATCTCACTCCATATTGCTCTGCAGATGACGGAATGCACTCTACCTGCTAACTGGAGGATGTG